AGACCTTTTTATTTAAGCAGCATTTTAAATGTTAATACCATGGAAATTTTATTTGGCCAGGGCGGCTTATTTTATTCTAATATATATATTTTAATTGTTATTGTTTTAATTTATTGTGCATTTTATTGTATGTTGTGAGCTGCCCCGAGGCTTCGGCAAGGGGCGGCATAGAAATGTTTTAATAAATAAATAAATACCAGCTCCACTGGCTCCCTGTTGAAGTCCGGGCCCAATTCAAGGTGCTGGTTTTAACAGATAAAGCCTGAACGGCTTGGGACCAGGATTCCTGAAGGAGCGCCTCTTCCTTATATGCCCTCACGCCCCTTAAGATCTATGGGAGAAGCCCTGCTCCGGGAACCCTCTCTCAGAGAGGTGAAAAGGTCATCAACGCAGAGCAGGGCCTTCTCTGCTGTGGCGCCCAGACGCTGGAATGTCCTCCCCAGAGAGGTACGCCTGGCGCCAAGTTTATACTCTTTTCGGTGCCAGGCCAAAACCTTTTTATTTAAACAGTATTCTAAACTTTAATAGCTTTTAAGTTTAGCCGCTCTGTTTGTTTTGTGATTTATTGTTTTGTTCTGTTTTATTATTTATTGAAATTGTTGTTTTAATTGTCTTTTTAAATATTGTAAGCTGCCCTGAGACCTTGTATAATAGGATGGCATACAAAAGCTTTTAATAAATAAATAAATAAATAAATAAATTCTCCTAAATATAGAGATCCTAATATTTGGAATGCAATTAAGTAGCTTTAGTCACATTAGTAAAATGCTAGAATAATAAAATAATATTCTAGTGTTCCTCAAAGCAGTTATGAAGTGCCAGGCCAAGGCCCATTTCCTTGTCCCGCTTTCCCCCAGCGAACCCTCTGTCCAGCCTCTTTGTAATTAGCTGTGTGTAATGCCTTTATGGAGATGTTATAAAACATTTTCACAACGATTTGTTTTAGTTGTATTTCATGTATCTCATGCTCTTATAAACCACTTAGAGATATTTTTAAATACGATTAACAGTTCGCTGTTCCCATCTGCCATTAGGACATCTCCAGCTTTTGGCAACCCTAAACCTCCGACATGTCTGGTCCTCAGCGCCCCACTCCACTTTTCTGAATTCGAGGCTGCGGCTTCCTTTGTGAAGCCAGCCCACCTCACCTTTGGTGCTCCTTTTCGTCTTATCCCTTTGCATTTCCCTAGCATGAGCGTCTTCCCCAGAAAATCTTGCCTTCTCATGATGCACGTCAGTTTCAGTTTCATCATTTCTGCTTCCAGAGAAATGTCTGGCTTGATTTGTTCGAGAGTCTACGTATTCCTCTTTCTGCCAGTCCAGGGTATCTGCAAAGCTTTCCTGCACCACCCC